TTCCTCTATTTGCACTCCCTACTTTCATCGCAATCTCAGGCGCGAAATACCTTCGTAAAGACCTTCTTTTCAGCCCCAAAGATAGCCATTTATTTGTCAACTTTATTCTGTGTAAATTTCTCTATTTGCTTAACATTATTAATGTCTCATTGTTTTATGTTTCCCATATTGGGGCCACACACATTTTTGTACGTATTCTTGCGTACGCGACAATAAAACCATTTTTTAACGCACGAAGCCGAATCTTTTTTTGCAAACACTTTTTTTTTATTGTCTTTACACACGACACACGACGAAACGCAGACACGAAATAATGAGTTTATGTATTTTAAACCGACCTAAATTATGGACAAGAGAAATGCTTTTTGCGGAATTTCAAACAAGGTCTCGGATCGGATCTACTTAGATATGGAAAAAGTACAGTAATGCGATAACCTGGCAAAAAAAAACACGAATCGTGTCAGCGATAAGAAAGACGGCGGTACTCTTTGGGGTTTTGGAAGGAATATACCAGACATTCGATTGGGAGAGGTGCTTATCTGCGAACACCGATTGGGGGGGGCTATTATTTCAATGAGTTCTGATTGCCATCGGATGTAGAAACAAGATCTTCAATTAGCATTCGAATGGGAATTGATACTTTGGATAGTTTTTGAAGAGATTTCTGGCATTTCTGCCTTAATTTTGATGAGAGATCTTTATCTTAGGAATTAATTCCTCCATTAATTGTAGGAGGTTCTTAATTGTCTTGCTTGATCTTTGAATTGATATTTTAGAGGGATTTCTTGCAGAGTTCAGCCTTTTCCTTGCACCTTTCTCTTGAGTCTTCTCCCTCATATCTCAACCCAAAGAGAACCATCAATCAAGTGCCTCTGAAATGTTGTGTTCATAACATAATTTACACACAATTTACGGTACAACTCGTATCCGTTGCTACTCGTATAAACAATCCTCCTTATTTCTCGAGTATTTTTCGGTTATTTATTTGAATATTATTTTTATGCAGAAATTTGTACGGAGTGTTGATAAAATTGTCACGTAATGTATTTGGTGAAGGAAGGAACTTTCGGGAGTTCTTGGAATTGTGACGGGGGTGTGGAAATGATTAACAAATATCGTCATAAATTATGTTTATTAATGAGCGATCATTTCTTGTAGATTTTTGATAATTGAAACTATAAAACAAAAAGCTATAAAATTATGGTAAATTTTTGAATGGGACTTCAGCCGTTTTTTAATTAGCTTAATGATAAAATATAATATTTGAAGAATAAATTTGTTGGGGCTCCTAGGGAGCCTGGGAATAATTTTCTCCAAATTAAATAAAATTTCCCTAAATTTGTAATAAAATTTCCCATAGAATTTACCCGTCCTCTCACATTTATCGTAATCGTATAATCCCTCTCTCTCTCTCTGTCTCGCTCGCTCTCTGGAAAATTATACGTTTCGAGCATTATCTCACCTCTCTCGTTCTCCACTTCTCTCTTTCTCTGTCTCTCTCGCTGCTGCAAACTTTTGGCACTCACTGTGTAATTTTAATTTAATTAAATTCTAAGCACGTCTTGGCGGAAAAAAACTGTAATTACGAGTACGAACAGAAAAAAATAATATAATACTTTGCGAAAAAAAAGGAGAAAAATTGCCAAAGAACTGTAGGAAAAAAACGAAGACGAAACGAAAATGAAGACGAAGCCAAAGCCGAAGAGAATTCTTTGGAAATCTTCTGCTCTGTTCCTCTGTCTCTCTCTCTCTCTGCCCCTCGTTCTTGGGTTTTCTAAACGGTGATTTAGCCATTATGTTAACGGTAAAATGTGCAGAATCTCTTGGTGAGGGAGAGGGGTAAACCGGTTCCCTCCAGGTAGGAGATGCCGCTTCGTCGTCGTCGTCGTTCGCTTGCTTTGTGCAACCGATTCGCTTCTTTCGTGTGTTGCATAACCACCCCCCTGCCCAACCCCCACTCTCCTCCACTCCACTCTCTGGCGTTTTGTGTCTCGTTCCATTGTTTGAGGAGAGGAGGGGATTGTTGTGTTGAACACGGTTCTAAGCGGAGTTTCTTTGTAAAGCGGCTAATTTTCGTAAGTTTCGTCTGCCGCAAACTGTTACGCCACAAGCAGAACAAAAAAGACGACAAAAAGAGGTAATTTTTGTTAGTAAAAGTTGTTAAAATTAATGTGGCAGCTAGGGGTTAAGAGTTAGACCATGACATCTCGATGTTAAATGGTAGATAATGGAACACACAAGCTGAGAATTAACGATCATTAGGAACCATTGAGTTTTCACCGAGTTATGAATAGTTGAAGATGGTATAACACCTTTCTGAGATAACGAAAGAGGTAGGAATGCACCAGAGAGTGTTTTCTCCTTGTAAATTTACAGTCAATAAATAAAATAAAATAAATAAAATACTGAGACCCCCAGAAGAAGAAGAAACGGAAGATAAGAAGAAGAGGTAGCCACAAGGAGAACACAAAGAAAAGGCAGGAAAAAGAGAAGGAACACCAATCATTATCAAAAACTGCATTTTCTGTTCTTGTTTACATTTCTTCTCATAGTCTCTCTCCCTCTCTCTGTTTATCTCTCTTTAGAGAGCATTCCTTCCTTGTCTGTGGCGCTGATAAAAATAAAATCGGATCCACAAACAAATATGTATATTTTCAAGCCGCGACGACCGTCAGACGACGACAATAATAATAAAAATAAACAGAAATGAAATTTGTTCTCCCTGAGAGTCGAGTTCTGCGTCTGAGTCTCGCCTGCGACTTGTTGAAACTGTTTCGTGCAAACAGGAAAAGCCAAAGATACAGATAGTTCATAGAGCTGTGTCCCCCCGCCCCCCCCCATCGTCTCTCTTTCGCTCAATTAACAGGCTTTTGTGAAAATTTAGTGAATCTCCTTTAATGAAGTGGCGTGTTGGGCGGCAGTTCTACCATTTTTGGGGTCTTCAGGTCTCGAAATAGATCTAGAAAATAATGATTTATGAGGGGCTTGGTTTCAGAGAGAGAATCGATGGAAATCCCCTGTTTTTGAATGTGAATTTAATTATTCTTTGATTAAAATACCAATAAATATTCCCTTGGTGTATTTATCCTTTAAAAGATACAATTTCGCTATCGTTTCGAGGGGGAGATACATTTATCAATATCCTCTTAGATATATCTTTTTCTTCTTAGTTTTAATCAACCAAAAGGCGGCGTTCTATGAAAATTCTGGTGTTTCGTTGAAATACTTGGCGTATCTGGCAGATACATGTGTCCGCAATGTATCTGTGCATCTTTTAAGCCGCACAAAGTCGCGTACAAAGCAACAATTATAAACAATGACAACAACAACAATGAAATGCATTATTATTATCAGCAAAAATACATGACAAAAGAATAGACAGAGAGCGAAAGAGAGAGAGAGAGAGCGAGAGGGAGGGAGAGAACAGTGAGTGAAAGAGAGGGAATGCGATTATGCTTCTGCCGCTGCTGCTTTTGTGCCACGCGTACAGGAAATTATATAAAACAAGTTTCTGGAGGGGCGGGGCAGAGAGGAGAGTGCAGTGGCCAGGGGGGGGTATGGTATGCCCCAAGGGCTTGGGGGGTAGGGGCAGGCAAAAACAATGAAGAAAAACGCAATGCAGTCGCAGTGGCAGTTGTATCTCTCTCCCTCTCTCTCACTCTGCCTCTCTGTTTGTATCTTGTATCTTGTATCTGTGTGTGTGCAACAGAAGAAGAAAATGTTGTTGATGTTTAAAAAGCAAATACAATAAAGCATTCTCCCCATGTCACACACACACATACACACACACACAGCTACAGATACAAGATACAAATGTATCTGTGTGTGGCAATGCTGCCATGCGTGCGTGTGTGTGTGTGGAAAAACTCTTTTGGGTGGTGGCTGCTGCTGTCATCGTCGGCTCCTCGTTGCGCATACGACACGTTGGCCCAGCCCAAGAAAATGAGAAGCAAAAACCCCAGCAGAAAAGATACTTTAATTTGCGCAGAGACTAGAGGCTATACGGGTATTATTGTATCTTGTAGATTAGGAAGGGTTTATGGGGAGAGAGATATAGATCTCTGATATCGGATCACATTTCAAGGGGTTATGAATAGTTGAAGGATGATACAAGAGTCTTCATACGACTTTGTCCATACATAACTGTTATTTTCGCATATCATTAAGCTTTTTGAATAGAAAAACAGCTTAGAACCTGCCATATATCATTATGATAATCGGTTCCCATCCCCAATAAATGATGATCTATCATCTGTTTCCCTATAATGATAGATGGTTGTCTCTCTGGCATACCATTTACTTATAAGACGTCCCTCCATCCTATTTGCATGCCCTTCGCTCCTTCTCCTCCTCACCGACACGTCTCCTTATTGTCTGCAGCAGCTTCTGCTCGTAGGAGTCCTCCTTCCCCTCCTTCGTTTGAATCCTTTTCCGAGATACATTTAAACCTTAACCCTTGCCTGCCGAAAACAGGGAATGATGAGGGGTAATGGGAGGGTGGGGAGGGGCTAAAAGAACACTACACTGCGCCTTTGGCAACACAAAAGAGGCCTCCTCTCTTCCACCCCTTCAGCATGCCCCTACACACACACACACACACACTCACACTGTTCTTCGGCGTCTTTTACTCATTTCGTTTTTCCGTCTTTTGGGGCTAGGAATAGGCATAGGTATAGGGTTTTTCTTTTTTCGGTTTTCCATGGGGCTGCTGCTGCATCTGAGGGAAAGGGATCTCTGTGCTCTGCGCTCTGCGCTCGGGGCCCCCAAGTCTTGGCCCTAAGTGTTTCTTGTAACTTGAGTCTTCAAGTGGCCATCTGGCATTTGCTTTTGCCAGCTTTTCTTCCCCCATGCAGTGCCCCTGTTCTCCCCTCGAGTGTGGCAACTTATGTCAAGCCGGGCGTTTTGTTAAGAAATAATACTATAAAACAGTACGAACAAAAGCCGTAGCGTGTAGCAAATGTTAATACAATTTTCCTTTCTCTTTTCTTTCATTTTTCCAGTGTTTCATTTACGTTTTTTCCAACGCGTTTTTTTCATCCGCCGTGCATCTATCCAACCCCCCGCCACCTGCCACCCCCCAATCCTAAATCCTCAATCCTCCAGTTAGGCATCAGAAAATCAAACGACGAAAAGTACAGCAGAAGCAGCAGCAACAGCGGCCACAAACAGCACATCATCGGGAGCATCATCTAACGCTGCAGCTAACAGATGAGCCCCAACAACAGATGTCAATTGCTGCAGCCGAAAATGCAGGGTAAGTAGGGGCCCACGGCTATGCAGGGGGAACGATGCTGTAGGGTGGGAGGTCTCATGGCTAATTAGATAAATTGGATGGAGGAACAATATCAAATGGGGGAGGGGGAACGTAAATTACCTTCAATTCTATCCCTATCGGACTTTAAACCATCAAAACTCTGTAGGAATACACGGAATTTAAGTAATTGAATGGAATTCTAAGGGATAAAGGTGGTTCCCTATGGAAAACCCTTAAAATATACCACAAATACACTAAAAAACTATCCCCAACAGTCTCCAACCCATCGTAACTCAGTCATTTATTATACGATCTCAATCAAAACAGTTTCTAGCGCCTTAATTTGCACAGAAATAATGATATAGGGGGTCTTCCTTATGGCTAATGAGATATATTCGATGGATGAAAGCTATTTGTGGTAGAATTTCAAAAGGGTAGAATATAGGCACAAGTTTAGTCGTAAATACTATCCCTAACAGTCTCCAACCCATCGTAACTCAGTCATTTATCATACGATTTCAATCAAAACAATTTCTAGCGCCTTAATTTGCACAGAAATAATGATATAGGGGGTCTTCCTTGTGGTAGAATTTCAAAAGGGGAGAATGTAGGCACAGGTTTAGTAGTAAATACAGTCCCTAACAGACTCCAAACCATCGTAACTCAGTCAAAAAGCGCAACATTTCATTCAAACCACTTTCTATGGCTGGACTTTGGAACCTACTTGGAATAATCATGAACGTGTTTCGGGCCAACTCTTAACCCATGGCTGCCAAGAGCCCTTTTATCGGCCTGGGAAATACCCAAATGGCACTTGCCTTTGCCGGGGGGGAGGGGAGCCAAAATCAAGTTTCAGGCAATAAAAATCGCAGAGGGCGAAGATGGAATCATAAAAATCGCCACATAATTTGAGTTGAGCAAATAAAAAGAGTAATAAAATCAATTTCAATCAAAATACCAAACGACAAATAAAACAAATACCAAAGAAACGGAAAGACGGCAAAGACAAGAGAGAAATTATGAGAACAGAAGAGCAGAGCAGAGCAGAGCAGAGAGAAACGGAAAGGCAACCCAAGCCCAAAAGAAGAGGCACATTGAAGGCACATTCTGGAGGGGAGGCCATAAATCAAATGCCGAAATATGCGCAAAATGTGTGCAAAGAAAAAGAACGAGAGAGAGGGAGAGGGAGAGAGAGAGATGCTCTGAAGGTGTAGTTGCAGATATATTTCCATCTGTATCTCTCAGATACATATACAGGGCACATGCAATTAATGAACGAACGAACGATCCGACAGGCGTGATGTCGCAATATTCAATGAGCTTCTAATGACTGGCACATGAGTGTTGTTCGAGTTTTGTTGTTGTTGTTGCTGTTTTCGGGTGGCTATAACATTCACAGATTAAATGTCTAGCCAGCACCTAGACCCTCCCCCCCTCCTGCCCCCCTCAGACATGGAAGCAGCTGCAGATGGGTCTTTGGAAGTTCGGCTCTGTGATAAATTGTGGGTTTTTCCACTCCCCAGAGACCCCAGACATTGCAAAAGAGTTTCAAATATTTATCAGAAGAAAGGAAAATTTAAGATTTCGTGGAACTTTCCATCGTTTTGCACATTTATCGGGAATATGTGGCACATTGTTGCATGGCAACCCAAAAATATAACTCTTTGTATTTATACACTGGCAAAAACCCATTTTAAATTAAATTGAAATTCTATAAAAATTTTTTCTATAAAATATTCTGCTTTTTCTGGATTTTTATTTGGTATTTACCCAGTTGGTATATGATTTAATTATTTATATTGAAAGCACTAGTCACACAATTTTCCTATCTTATAAAAAAAATGCATTGATTTATAGTACAAATAATTTTCAAAATAATTTTTAGTAATTCTAATTCAAAAAAAATGTACTTAATTACTTATTTTTACTAATCTTTAAATTTTAATGGGCATATATATTTAAAAAAAATTTTTTTTTTATTTGATTATATTAATTTTTTTTTTTAACTTCTTTATTTTAGGACCTTTTAGGAGGTCACTTGTACATTTTTCCCAGTGTACGATATGCACTCATTTCAAAGGCAATGATTTTTCCTAAAACGTTACTAGTTTTTCCAGCCCAACACTTTTCCACAATGTTTTCCCCCAATTAAACACAGGCGCAGGGGTAGGGGCAGGGGCAGGGCCAGGGGGGCGGCACTCATGCAAATCCAATCCACAAAAAAATAATTAAAACTTTTACCCCAAAAAAATACAAATATAAAGTAAGTACAGTTGCTATTTAGTTTCGAGCACTAAACACAGAAAAAGCAATAACAATTAAAAATGTAGTAGTTGTTGTTGTTTTTGTTGTTTTCGTATCGTTCGTTGCAATTAAAATGAGAAACTTTGTGGATCGTACAGTGCGGTGTGTTGTTTGCTGCCGCCACTAATTGTCATTGGAAGACGCCACAAACAGAAAAACAAAAACAAAAACAACAAAAAAACAAAAAGTGAAAGTGAAGAGCAATATACCAGTGTAGTGCCATGTAGCAGAGTGTAGTGCCGTGCAGTGCAGTGTTTTGCATGGGAAATCCATCAGAAGAGACTCCGCCGATGAGTAATTTCCAAAAATTTTTTGTGCCTGCCGCTGGAAATAGTTTTTCCCTCCAGCAGCAGCCCATGAAATATGAAACAACTTTATTTCATTGTCAGTGGGTCTCTCCGTGTCTCTCGCTCTCTGCTATCCGCTCTCTTGGCTCTCTGGAAAAACCGGCTCGAAAAAAAAAAAAAATGATTACGCTTTTGTGAGCCAAAAACTAGAAAATGAAAGTGAAAGTAGGCCAAACTCATCAGCATTCGACTCGATTCCGTCTACAAACGACTCTGGCACTGACTCTGACTCTGACTCTGGCACTGACTCTGACTCTGACTTTGACTACTCATCGGCTGCTACCCAGAGACCGGGGTACAGAGACTGTGTGTGTCGCTTTTTTTTGGTAGGCCTACTCTCGTATCTAATATCTCTTCGCGCTCTCTGTGCGATCTCTGGCTCTACTCCAGTGTGCAGTGGTGGGGCTTCCATTCGATTCGACTTTGCTTCACTTTCGTTTTCAGTCTTTGAAGAAAAGTGAAAATAATTCAGTGAAAATCTCCGCTTTCTGACAGCAGCGGGAAAGTGAGTTTTGGGGCTTTGGGGGCTTAAGAGTTTTATTACGACATTCGGTTTTTTTTTTTTGAGGTTGGGCTTGGCGATTGTATAACAGGGAAATATTCGGCTTGGAGGTCGATTTTCGTATGGGAAAATTAACTTCTTTGAGCGCCGGAATGACGTAAAAGGTTGGGATAGGTTAGGGAAGGGTAACACATCGTTTAAGCAGCATTTTAGGGCTGTGAAAATTCCCTAAAAACATCTCCTTAGGATAATATACCCATAGATCCACGAATTGTTGTATAATTTCAGTTTAGGAATAAATTTATAGTAAAATATCCATTATTGTTGCTATTAAAGCAGCTTTCACATTCCCCCAAGCACTGATTTGGCTAATTGACACACCCTCAAGCCTGCCTCTATGTACGACTATCCCCATTTAATCCCCAGCCTAAATCCACTCCCAAATCCACTCGCAAAGATTTCATACACGATTCAGTGATGCCGCAAGTGAATTTTCTCGCTTGAGATTTGGTTTGGGCCCCAAGGAAATAAAGAAAAGGAAAAAAAGATCTATAATTTACTTTTTAAGCGCCCGAAAACATACATTTTCCATTTCGGCAAACAGCAATTTCCACAGCAACCAGAAAATGGGAAAAACTCTAGCAAAAAAAAAGCAAAAAACAGCAAAAAAGTAGGGAAAACAGCAACAGCAGTGACGATAACGATACCGATAGCCACAGCCTCCCCCACACACAGAAACAACAACAACAACAAAAGCAATCGACACTTGGGGCAACGCCCAACAACAACAGCAACAAAAATTATAATTCTCCTCCTTTCGGTAGAGCCCCCCCTCTCTGTAGCACCCCTCTGTAGCTCGTTCTCTCTCCCATAGCCCTTTCTCTCTCGCTCTGTTTTGGGGGGAAGAAATTATAAGCCGCTTACATAACAATCAATGGGGGCCTAAGACTGGAGGCCTGTTTTACCAAAGTATCTGCTGCTGCTGCTGCTGGAGGGACAGTGGCGCCACCAAAAAGGGGTTTTCGCTTCCTTAGGATGCGCTAAAGAGAAGAGTAGAAGTAGAAGAAGAGGAATTGTAGAATCCATAGATACAATGAATATTATATATAGGATCTGTGGAGTTCTTGTAAAGAATTGATCCTTAAAAAGTACAAATTTTGTATATATATTAATCCTCCTTTGAAGCTTGAGAAGCTCTTCCGATAAAGAGGAAAAGGGAGAACTGCCCCACATGTAGAGTCCTTTGAATCAACAAAGAACTTTTCATACAGATATTCAATCTTTGTCAATCTATAAGATACTCTTCACCCCTTTGAAAGACATTTCGCAGTCTCCGCCCCTGTTCCCCTGTTCCAGGCGGGCACCATCCTTCTCGAATCGAGTGTAAGTGACTCTCACGATGGTTTTTTGCGCCCTAATTGCACTGGGCGTGGCAGGCAAATCAAATTGGCAAACAGATTTTGTTGTTTTTCGAGGACTGTTGAGGGGATTCACGTTTCACGTTTAAAGGATGCAACATGCCAGTGGAAATGGTAGAAAATTCAAACAAAAAAATACGAAAAGTCAGAGAAAAAGAGTAAAATATATAGAATATGGAATACAGGGAGAAAGAAAGATACATGTGTGAGAAGAGAGCAAGAGAAAAGTGATAGATTTATGGAGAGGGAAAGAAAGGGAGGGAGTGAGAGAAGAGGAGACGCCCGTCGTCGTCTCGTTGACGCCCCAATAGGAAACTTTTATTCTTTTTTATGACTTACGCTTTTGTTGTTCGTCCCGATACTTTGTCATTCCACTGTCATGACCCTCCCCCTCCCCCTCCCCATCCCTCCCCCACTCTGTGGAAAATT